CCGTAGAAGTCTAGGAACATTAAAGTACTCTGTATTAGAGAAGCTAAGTTGAGAAACAAACGGTGTTACTTACTCCGTGAGTGGGTGGGCAATATGCCCTTAAAAGGTTAATTATTGACTTTTTTGCTCTAAAAATAACCTAAGTGTCTAATGTGCTCCTTGATCTACTTTTAATGGTCTATATGCACCTATTCCCTATAACATAATATTATAGTATTGTTAATAATTATGATATGGATAGTATATATGATACTACTATTGAAATATCCTCATTATGTCCTTTAGAACTTAGACACTGTTTCTTTTTTTGGCTTTCCAAAGACCATAACTACATTCCATTTTAAGTAATAAAGTAGTGATTATTATTAATTCTCTCTCATTCGCACAAACATCTGAGGTTACACACTTTATACTATATTATTCTTTGTATCCGTCAAGTTTTGTTAAGTTATAAATGACCGAGTGAGTATAAACTTCACATATAATATATCATGTCAGACTTAGCTTAGACAGACCAAACTACGCTTAAATAGATCATACTAGAGCAATGTCATTTGGCTAGATCAAACAGAGCCAAAGCTGTATTTCACAAGTTAAAAAAAAATATGTCTCTCACATTATATTTTTCATGTGTGTAGGCACTCTTGTAGTTGAAAGCCGAGTTAAGTGTGTTGCAGGAAAACCATGCCCTCGAAATTGCGATGGTAGAGCACGTTACATGATCTGTCCTTCCCAATCAAAGGTCATCCCAATTGGTGAGCATCATATTTGCGAGAACTGTTGTACAGCTGAAAATAATGGTTGCATCCTATACGATAAGAACGGACGTCCCATTTGTGGAGATGAATCATTCATTCTACCTTAATACGGTTTCGGCAGTGGTCTAAGTTATAATAAAATTGTTCAATAATAATAATGAATCATCAAATATTACATTTGATGTGTGCACTATACCTCTGAGTAATAATGAATATAGATGGAATATAATCAGCGGGGTTATGTTTACTATCTCCATTCCTTTCTCAATAAAGCTTATTATGCAGTACATAATGATAAGGCATATATGTGTGTGTCTACTGGAACCGAATGGAATGAGAAATGTGTATATTTATAAAAGCCATAATAATAATGCATTCACACACATGAAATTTAGTACTTCAATTGGAAGTACTAAATATGCAAATTATGAGTCCGTTTAGTAACGCTAAAATCGGTTGAATCGGCTGATTTTACTGAAATTTATGAAGTTTTGGCTGAAGTGATTGTATTGACTAATTCTGCTGATTTATGAAAGAAATTATATTTAAAATATATTGTATTAATAAAATAAATAAAAAATTATATGAAAAATAGCTAACATGATCCTCTATAATAACTTCAGCTAATACAGTCAGAAAATAACCCTAACCTCACGTTTTTATTATTATTACGCAATTCAGCGTGCGAAATCAAAGGTTACATTTTTGGTTAAAAAGTAGGCTGGTAATCCTGATAAGTCGAAAAATAGAGTCACCAAACGGGCTCTATATTGTGATGCCAGAACAACATGCGCATTTCAAGCACACAATATTTCGTGTACAAATGAACATGCATTATGAAGGGTTGTTGATGAACAATACGAGAATTAGTTTACTAATAGACATGTGTTTAAGTGTAATAAACTGCCCCCACTCAACCCCCACCCAACCCCTATATATATATCGAATGTAAAAATTATACATGTAGAATTGTATTAAATAAATGTGGCTCTCTCACGCATGTGATGGTTCAAATAAGGAGAAAATTAACTAAAACCTACCGTAGCAGACTAGTGGCTCTCTCAAGCATGTGATGGTTCGAATCTCAATCAATGTTTCTTATGTTTTGGTTTGTTTTGCCTTTTTAAGCTCTAAAGTAATTTAAAAGTGGTTTTACATCATTTTATTCAAATTTTAGTTTTTTTAAACTACTTCAACATAATTACAAATCACATTATTTGTAATTTGTAAAGTTTAATAGTTACTACACCTCCCTCCCATACAAAAGTCCATGTCATCTTTTCTCCGATCAATGTAAAATTTTCTTAATCTCTTGCTTTATTATAAATTTTTAATTTAGTTTTTGAATGTGTAATTTTTTTACTATAAAATCTAATTACGGATAGAGATCAGTTTATTTATGATCAGTCAAATATCGTAAATCGTGTGAGAACCTCTCTACGAGACGGATGAAGTACATTATTACACGTAATATATATGGAGTATTGGTTTTTAATATACGTGCGAATTCGCAACATAGTTAAGTTAATTCTAAATACATATTTGATTCATTCCTTATTTGATTTTTTTTAACGTAATTCTGAATAAATTATCAATTGTGTGATTAACATTTATTTTTAACGTAATATTTTTTCCCACAAATATTTTATTATTTATAATTGATTTTACACTATTTTTTCTTAATGTGATCATTGTTTATGATCATGAGATGCGTGAAATAATTAATGTAGGTTCGCCCCCGCTCACCAAAACTCCTGGATACGCCACTGAATAGACATCTTTATTTCGACTCCTATTAAGAATTATAACTAATTACAGTGAAAACTATCAAACAAGCCTTCAATTATACCGAATCCGAATCCGATCCCCAACTATAAAAATACATTATATCCATCTTTTTAGCCGGTTAGGAGTTGAATCAGTTGATCACTATGGTAGTTGATGATGCGGTTGTTTATGTGAATGAGGTGAGTTTTTTCGCACTTAAAAAAAGGTGTCAAAAGTATGGGGTATAAATACGAGTATAGTCTCCACAGAGTCGGAAAAAAGAAGTTAAGTATTAAACAAATTCAGCAATTAAAATTGATAGAGTATATGGGCCTGGACCCCATGGCCCGCATACTCAACGGCCCAAAAGACACCAGCGGAACACCCGCATCGCCCAGAGGCGCGTAGCGTCCAAGAGAGAAGGTATCGCCCGATTTTTATGGACCGCATCGTCCATGGACCGCGTCGTCCATGGACCGCGACGTCCATGGACCGCGTCGTCCATGGACCGCATCGTCCATGGACCGCATCGTCCGGACTTCGTCCGGGCAGAACATATTTTCCTATTTTTTGTACTAAGTGTTGTACTCAGCCCATTAGTGGCCTTTATTCGCCCAAAGAAGGCATGATTATTGTAATGGGCCTCCTAAGCCCAAGGCTAGGGGCCCAAATCTACATCTTTTCCTATAAATAGACCCCAAGGGGCTAATTATAGGGGATTCTTTTCCCAATTGAGAAATATAATTACTCACTTTCTCTCTCTAGCTCTCACTTCTCTCTAGAATTAATACTCTATCATTTGGTGCTTTCATTGAGAGCTTAGAACAGATCAAGTGAGTACCCTTCGTCGCTACCAGACACTACCACTAGCTATGACAAGGACTAGATCAAAGAACACTGGTAGGAATGCCCCTCTGAACCAGGAAGGGCAGGGGAACGTTGCTGACAACATCCCCAATGACCTCATCATTCAGGATGAGAACGCTCAGGAGATCGAGCACGCGACGGCTGACCTTCGCGTCCAGCTCAACAAGACTGCCCCAGACGCCCGCATCGGGCTCGAGGACAGGCGCAATGCTGATCGCGCTTCGGGCCAGCAGGCTTCTCACCCTGCTGCCCCCCAGATCAACCCGGCCGCACTATCGGCCATCGTCGCAAGCATTCTCCAGGACCCCAACGTCGTCAGCGCCCTCGTCGCAAAGACGGGGGAGAACAACACTCCCGTGACTGGGGAAGTCGCGACGGTGCCACCACCGCCGCCTCGGCCACAAGGCGTCACCTTCTTCGGTGACAACGAGGACGTCCTCGCCGTGGACACCCATTCCCACACTGCCTCTCCTACCCGGGATACACCGGCCCAACCTCGCGGAAAAATCTCAGCCTTCAACAGGCTGGGTGACATCGCGAGCCGTCGGGTACCTACGGGAGGGGTGGCGGGTCGGTTGGGTGGCCGCGAGCCGGGGTCACCAAAGGAAAGTTTCGGGTCCGTTTCCCGGACAACGGATCGGCCCCGACCAGACAAAGGAAAGGGAAAACTGAATGATGATGATGCGCGTCATCAGATCAACCTGGCTCACGCGGCCCGGATCCAGACCCCGCTGGGTGGCGCTGCGGCCAACACGGACCCGAGGGACGAGATCATCGCCCGCCTGGAGAAGCGCCTCGCCGACATGGAGGCCCGAGAGGCCGCAGGGCGCGCATCGGCCCAGACATCCCAGCATCCCAACTACGACGCGCTCCTGAGCAAGGTCAGTGCTCTGGAAAGGGAGTTGGCTGACCGGCGCGATGAGCCCGTCATCCAGATACGGACCAGAACCCCCTTCTCTGCGAGGGTGCTCTCCGCTCCCATCCCAGAGAAGTATAAGGGGAACCCGATCAAGCCATATGACGGCCGCACTGATCCCCAGGAGCACTTCACCCGTTATCAGAACAATATGATGATGACCAACGCTTCAGAAGAGTACATGTGTCGCTGGTTCCTATCCACCTTGGAAGGACCAGCGTACGATTGGTTCAACAACCTTCCGGAGGGGAGCATCGACTCATGGCAGGACCTTGCTCAGCGCTTCCTCACCCACTTTGCCGGAAGGAAGCGTGCGAAGAAGCATTTCGCCCATCTCCTGACCATCAAACAACAACCGGAGGAGACGCTCCGGGCCTTCCTCGATCGCTGGACGAGGGAGGCGGACGAATGCGAAGGAGCCGATGAGCGCACCCTCCTGGCTTTTCTCCGCGGAGCACTCCGGCCCAGCCACTTCGCCCGGAGCCTGTTCACGGAGCCGCCGCGGTCATACCTCGCGGCACTCCGACGCGGAGATAGGCACGCTGATGCCGACGAGCTCCTGAACCAGAAGAAGGGTGGGGAGAAGCAACAAAAGAAGGACTCCTCGTCCAACCCCCACCACCCACCGGCCAACAAGGGACAGCACCAGCCAAAGAAGGCACACCAGGAGCAAGGCGGACAGCGAAGAGAGGACCGCTCATGGCGTCCAAAGCTGGAAGCACAACGCATCCCCCTCACCCACCCGGTGAGCGTCATCCTTGACCACGCCGAGGCGCAGGGCCTCATTGTGAAGGATCCCAGGTCAGAGGAGGAGGTATTTGCGGTCCACAAAGGAGGGACATACTGCAAGTACCACCGCCAGACATCCCACAAGACCGAGGATTGCACCACCTTGAAGAGGCACATCGACGGCCTCGTCCGACAGGGGGAACTTTCCCAATTTGTCAAGGGTGCCCCCAAGAGTAACACTTGGGTTAACCCTGGCAAAAGGGGGGAAGGATCCTCCGGGAAAAAGAGGGAGATCGGCGCCCTCAGTGAAGATGAGGACGAAGAAGAGCCCCGCCAGAAGAAACATCACATTCACATCATCGTCGGCGGGAACACAGGGGGGGACTCGGCTACCCAACGGAAAAAATGGGCTCAGTCCCTATACGTTGGTGAGGTGTCCCACGCCCCCCCTCAGCCGAAGCGACGGAACGTGGAGGCCATCACCTTCACCGACAAGGACCTCCCCTTCGGCCCCTTGCCCCACAGGGACGCCCTCGTCGTCAAATGCGAGATAGGCAATAACATCATCCACCGCAACTACATCGACACTGGCAGCTCCGTCAATGTGATGTATGTTGATACATTCAGACAGCTGAAGTTGAAGAAAACCGAGCTCCGGCCGATACGGACTCCGTTATCCGGCTTCACCGGGGACTCTATCGACGCCGAGGGCACGATAGTGCTTCCCATTGTGGTCGGTGACGGTACCTGTCAGGCAAAGATTGACATGGAGTTCGTGGTTGTCAACTTGGACAGCGCCCACAACATGATTTGGGGACGACCGGCCTTGGAGGACCTTGAGGCCATCATCTCCATGAGACATCTATGCCTCAAGTTCCCCACCAAGGACGGCGTCGGCTACGCCAGAGGGAACCAGAAGATAGCCAGGGCTTGTTACCTGAAGCTCACAAGGAAAATCAATGAAGCCGAGGAGCGGATAGACACCATCACCACCGCCTCGGCCGAAGAAGACACACCAAAGGCCGAACCGGTCGGAGACGTGGAAGATGTTCCGTTGGACGTCTCCCGGCCGGAACGCACGCTGAAGATTGGGACACAGCTCCCCCAACAGATCTGAAGGGACGTCCTCTCTGTCCTGAGAGCGTACGCCGTCGTCTTCGCATGGGGACCGGAGGACATGCCGGGCATCAGCCCAAAGGTAATCACACATCGGCTATCGGTAAACCCGGCCTCCTCCCCCATCAAACAGAAGAAGCGCTACCTCTCAGCTGACAGGAGGGAATTTGTCAAGGCCGAGGTGGCCATGCTGCTCTCCATCAGGCACATAAAAGAGGTGAAGTACCCCACGTGGTTGGCGAACGTCGTCCTCGCACCAAAGCCGCCCACGTTCAGAATGTGTGTTGATTACACTGACCTGAACAAAGCGTGCCCAATGGACCCATTCCCTCTCCCCAACATTGATCAGTTGGTGGACGAGACGGCGGGGTGCGAGTTGATGTCGTTCCTCGACGCGTTCAGAGGGTACCACCAGATATCCATGCATGAAGATGACGCGGAGAAGACTGCTTTCATGACCCCGGAGGGCATTTTTTGCTACCTCGTCATGGCCTTTGGGCTCAAGAACTCCGGCGCCACCTACACAAGGATGGTAGCCCGGATTTTTAGAGCAGTCTTAGGTCGGACGATGGAAGCATACGTCGACGATATGATCGTCAAGAGCAAACAATCCACAACCCATGCCGACGACCTCCGGGGCATCTTCGAGATCATGAAGAAATACAACCTCCGGCTCAACCCAAAGAAGTGCACCTTCGGCGTCCAGGGAGGTAAATTCCTGGGGTACCTGGTCAGCCGAAGGGGCATTGAAGTAAACCCGGAGAAGATACAAGCCATTATCAACATGGAGCCGCCCCGCAACATCAAAGAAGTGCAACGGCTGACGGGACGCCTCGCGGCCCTGAACCGTTTCCTTTCAAAGTCCGCGGAAAAATCGCTCCCTTTCTTCCAGATAATGAGGAAAGCCACCAGCTTCAAGTGGACGACGGAGTGCCAACAAGCCTTTGAAGAGCTGAAGCAATATCTCGCCTCCCCACCCGTCCTATCCAAGCCCCAGCCCGGCGAGACTCTCTTCCTCTATTTGGGGGTGAGCACGTCGGCCGTCAGCTCTGTACTCATCAGGGAGGATGACGGGGTACAGAAGGCAATATTCTACGTCAGCAAGACGCTGCGAGAGGCCGAGCTCAGGTACTCCCCCATTGAGAAGACGGTCCTGGCCATCGTCCACACGGTGAAGAAGCTGGGCCACTATTTCCAAGCTCACCCCGTCCACATCCTCACGCATCAGCCGTTGGGCGCCCTCATGAGGAGCCCGACCAGCTCTCCAAGGATGATCAAATGGGCAATATTCCTGAGCCAGTACCAGATTGATATCAAACCAAGGCCATCTATCAAAGGGCAAGCCTTGGCCGACTTTGTCACGGAATGCACAGCGAGGGAGACGGCCGTCACCACCACCGGCCGTGAACCAGATGAAGCCTGGACCCTCTTCACGGATGGGTCATCGGCCAACAAAGCATGCGGGGGTGGCGTCGTCCTCATCTCACCAGAAGGATTCAGAGCGTACTACGCCATCCGCTTCAACTTCAAGGTATCCAACAATGAGGCCGAGTATGAAGCGCTCCTCAGCGGTCTCAGACTAGCCGCTGGCCTCAAAGCACGCCACGTCAGAATCAAATGCGACTCCAAACTCGTAGTGAGCCAGATGGAGGGTTCCTACGAGGCCAAAGAAGGAAGGATGAAGCAATACAAGGAGGCCGCTGCGGAATTGCTCAAGGCGTTCGACACCTACGAGATCACTCAGATCCCAAGGGCGGAGAACGCCGAGGCCGACATCCTCTCTAAACTCAGCTCCGACACCCCTGAGCACATCTCCAAGATAGCTAAGGTGGAGGAGTTGAGCATGTCAAGCATTCACGCAAGTCCCATACTCTCCATACAGCACCAGCCGGAGGACTGGATCACTGACATCGCAACATACATCACCTCCGGCACGCTACCAGAAGACGAGGAAAGGGCCAAACTAGCCAAGCTCAGGGCTCCTAGCTATGTCATTGAGAGTGACAAGCTCTACAAAAGATCATACAATGGCACCCTCCTCCGGTGCCTCCACCAGAATGAGGCCGAAGTGGCCATGGAAGAAGTCCACTGCGGCGTATGCTCATCTCATCAGGGGCCCTTCAGCATGTCGCGCCGCCTCGTCGTCCAAGGCTACTTCTGGCCGACGATGGCACGCGATTGTGCTGAAGTCGCCCGCAAATGCAGCGCATGCCAACACTACCAAAGGGCACCTGGTCGGCCGGCCGTCAACTACGCCCCGGTCAGCACTGCTATCCCATTTTCCAGATGGGGCATCGACCTCGTCGGCCCATTACCAAGAGCTGCGGGCAACAACAGATACATCATCGTCGCCATCGACTACTTCACCAAATGGGTCGAAGCCGAACCACTCGCACGCATCACCGGAGCGCGGTGTCGAAAGTTCGTCTACAAAAACATCCTCACCCGCTTCGGTGTGCCTCAGGAGATCATATCTGACAACGGCACCCAATTTGAAGCCGAACCGTTCCAAAGCCTCCTCCAAGAATGGGGAATCAAGCACCGTTTCTCCTCCGTTGCCTACCCTCAGGCCAACGGACAGGTTGAGAACGCCAACAGAACCATCTTGGAGGGGTTAAAGAAGAAGCTCGAGGAAGAAGGCGGAAGTTGGGTCGACGAGCTCCCCAACGTCCTATGGTCCTACCGAACTACTCCAAGGAGGGCCACCGGGGAGACGCCATTCTCCTTGTGCTACGGCTTCGAAGCCAAGGCCCCCACTGAAGTCACCCTCCCCAGCCGACGGGTCACACAATACGACCCCGAAGCCAATGAAGAAACAATGAAGATCGACTTGCACCTCATTGACGAAAGGCGGGAGATGGCCTACCTCAGAGCGGAGAACTACAGACGACAAATCAAATCCTACTACGACGCCAAGGTCCGATCTCGCGAATTCCAGGTGGGGGACTACGTCCTCCGCCGAAGGGAAGCAAGCAAGCCGACGGAAGGAGGAAAGCTCGCCGTCAAATATGAAGGGCCCTACATCATCAGCGCCGTCATCAAAGCCGGCACTTATAAACTAAAAAACCCTAATGGGTCAGATGTACCACGATTGTGGAATGTACACCACCTGGTGAAATTTTACCAATAACTCGAGAAGTGGTGAAGCGGGCAACGTCCCCCACCCCTCGGCTTATTGGTTGAATAAAACACCCTCGGCATAGCGCCACTTATTGAATAAAATTCATGTTTCATCCAATCTTTTAAGATTTGAGCAAAAGAAACCCAAGGACCGCATCGGCCTAAGCGGTGCAATCACCCGGGACCGATGCGACCTAAAAAGCCGTTGCAATAAACAACGCACCTAAAGCCGTTGCAATAAACAACGCACCTAAAGCCGTTGCAATAAACAACGCACCTAAAGCCGTTGCAATAAACAACGCACCTAAATATCGTATCGGCACAAGCGGTGAAACACCCAAATCGGCCGGCGATATGCAGGACGAAGGACCTGTGTGCATGGTCCGACGTCTTCAAACGGAGAAGCATACCGCGTCGTCCGCGCGGAAACCGCAGGACGACAGGCCTGAATTAAGGCTGAGGTTACAAAAACTCCACCCGTCAGTAAAATTTCACTCAGGACCACAAAGGGCGGCCGTCAAAAGACGATGCCTAGTCCGGTCCCTCGTCGCCGATAGACGTGGAAAGGCAAAAAAGGATGCCACTGACACACCAAGCCGAGGGCGTATTTACTCCCTCGCACTAATCCACGCGAAAAGCGTAGCGGACAAACTACCGCACATGGACGAAGGGAGAGTAACCCTTCGGCCACCTAAAAAAAAAAAAAAAAAAAAAAAAAAAAAAGGGAAGAGGGAAGCCGACGGACCGCGCACCCGCCGGCCTCGAGCAAAAAATAAAATCCCCACAAAAAACCAAAGCCTCAAAATCGGCTAAGTACATATCAGGTTTCCACCTAAGAGGAATACGAAGTGCACGCTTCGGCCTCAACCATAGCATCACAAAAGGGAATCGCTTCGGCTTCGGTTATACAAAACCACAGTCCATTACTTGGACGATGGGACGCATCGTCTCCACGTAGCAAAACCCAAATGACGAACCGAAGCAAAACAGCTCCATCGAGGCAAGTGGGACACTTAGAACATTTTCTAAGTCACACTACAAGAGAGACGATGCGCTACCATTCCATATCTGGGTATCGCTTCGTCCTCAACACTTCAGGATTAAGTTCCAAAAACCCGGGAAAGATGTAAAGGCAAGAAACATCCAGGCTTTCTTGCACCAGCCAAGGGAACACATCGTTCATACAACCGTATACACATGAATGCAACCAAGACGTTGCGACCTCTGGCTAAAAGATTCAACCATCCTAAACGAGCAAATCAAGTTTGATGTTGGCACTTAGAAAAAATTCTAAGGGAACTAGCCTACATCGACACATGGACGATGGTCCGCATCGTCTCAACCAAACACGGGTGTATGGAACTGACACTTCAAAAAACGTGAGGATTAGAAAGTATACAAAAAACAATGCGGTGAAGATGGGGATGCGGCCCTGAACCACCATCAGGAGCGCGCGCTTCGTCTAAAGATGCCACACCAGCAAACCACCGCATCATCTCCGACGAGGGACGCATATCCCTTGAGACACCGAAGGAACGCTTCGTCTCAACCAACCGAAGTATGTTCGCAAACACTTAGCCGAATTTGAAGAAGATGAAACTTATAAAGCATGGAGTACAGAGACGATACGACACTAAAAGGTCATACTTCAAAAAAACTATGAAGACGGAGCAACAAACATCTATACTTAGACAAAAAGAGATCTCTAATTGATAATTCAAATCATACAAGGAGGGCGCTTCGGCCGTTACAATCATCAGGGCGCTTCGGCCATTAAAGACTACTACTACAAATAAGGAAAGAAAACTAAGTACAAGAAACACTAAGCAGCTTGTCCTTGGCCACCCTCGACGGCTCCGCTGTCCGCATCGTCTTGCTCATCCTCAGTATTTTTTGACTTGGTCGAGGTCCGGAAGAGGTAATCATCACTCTCGGTCCAGGGCTCGTCCTCTTCATCCGAGCTCAGGATGGGGGGCTGCCTTTCGGACAGAGGAAGTTTCAGCTCCTCCTCGGGGTCCTTCATCATCCGGGGAAGGCCGATACCCCTGGGCTTCAGGTTCTTTACACGCCGGCGGAGGCGGCGGTAAACCAACATCTGCATACGCCTCTGGCCGAGGTCGTACCAGACTTCAAACTCCTCCTTCAGGCGGGCTCGGCCAGCCTCCTCCTGAGACCACGCTTCAAAGCGCTCCGCCACAACATTGAAAGACCAATCGCTTCGGGCCTCGTCCTTCCACCCCTCGGCCATAAAAAGCTCAATGGCCTTATCGGCAGCTGCAATCGCATCGGCCTCAAGCTTCACAGCTCTTTCCTCTGCTAGCCGACGGGCAGCCGCTTCTTCGTCTAACTGAACCTTGAGGCGTTTCGCCTCGTCCTCAGCAGCGACGGCTTTTTTCTCAGCTGCGTCAGCTTTTTCCTTCAAAGCGTCAGTCTCAGTACGAAGCCGCTCCAGCTGGGAAAGCGCCTCGTCAGCAGAAGCGACTTTCTTCTCAGCTTCCCGAAGGCGAGCAAGCTCCTCTTCCTGACGTCGCTGCTGCTCCATCAGCATGAAGGCCCCCTGCAAAGACGAGTAATTGTTAGAAGAGGAAAGGAACACAAAAAATTACTAAGTACAAAGGCCGGGATTTACCTGGACGACGTAGTCAAGCCCACCGTCGAAAAGGCGCACATCCTTACCCTGCCGACGCAGATACTCCCTGTCAGCATCAGGAATGGCCTGGAAAAGGACGTCGTGCCCAGAGACCTTATCATTGAATAAACCGCCCTTCGGCGGATATCGCACCGTAACCTCATAAAGACCAGAGGCCAGGTCTCGGCCGGCGCGGGCCCTCTCTTTAGCAGCGGCACCGGAGTTAGCAGGAACGAGGGAGGACGAGGCGACGTTCAAAGTCAGATCCTCGATGACCTGCACATCAGAGGCAGCCTCCCCTTGAACCAACGCCTGCGCGTCGGCCATAACAGCATCTCGAAGGGGAGGGCTCGGCTTCGCCTTCTTAGCACCTTCAGCCGGCACCAGCCCCGCCTCCGTCAAGGTCTGTTGCCCTTCAGCGGGCCTCTTCTTCTTCTTGGTCGCAACGGCCTTCTTCGCCGCATCGGCCTGAGACTTAGACCCGTCACCGGACCCCTTGGACGCGTCGGCCCGCTGGGCAGCTTCCATTTCTTTGGCAACCATCTTTTTCGCCTGGGCCATGAAGAGCTTACGGCTCATGGTGAAATCTGCAAATGCAAAGGACAGAGCAAAAGAGTTAGAAAACAAATACAACGAATTATATCACAAGTCAAAAGAAAGTGATCAACCTTCGGCATCGGCTGGGACACCGAGGTAGGGCCCGTCGGCCTGCTCAAAGTAGCCGGATATCTTCGGCCATAATCCGCAATCAGGGTCACCGGGAATGTGGTACCGCATCATCCCCAGAGCTGCTATCTTGAACTCAGTAATGTAAGTGTTGACGCTCCGCGGCCCACCCTTCAGGAACGCTTCCACTTGAGCATCAATCTCAAGGCTCCTTGGTGGGTTGTGCAGATTAAAGATACCGTTGTGCCCTTGAGATGGGAAGAACACCCTATCGGCTAATTTCACGAAGCAAAATTTACTCTTCCACCCATGGATAGACGACGGGAGATCAGTAAAAGACCTTTTCTTCGGCAGCTGTTGGAGGGCAGCATAACCAGCACAGTTCTCGTGGCTGCCCCGTCCGATCCGGTACAAGTTCGTGAACAATGCCGTCGTCGGCTCAATCCCAAGCTCATCGCATCGGATGAGGAACCCGACGATGAGGGAATAGCTGTTCGGAGTAAGCAAAGCGGGCGGAAGATCTATCATGTTGAGATACTCCACGACAAACGGATGAAGGGGGAACCTCAAACCCTGGGAGAAGCTCATCGGATACACCCCGAAGTAACCGGGAGGCGGATCCAGAACATGGTCCGTCGGCTTCGGCGCCCTAACCTGTAACACTTGAGATTTAATATAAACGGATTAATAGTACTACTCATACCAACAAGGTGCATCTCCTTTTAAGGGAGCTCATTAGCCAAGAACTCCAAAGTTAAGCGTGCTTGCACGGGAGTAGTCTTGGGATGGGTGACCCCCTGGGAAGTTTCTCAGGGCGCGCACGAGTGAGGACAAAGTGCGCGTAAAAGGCTAGTGGCGGTTTGTGAGGACAGTACTATTGGTCCGGAGTAACTACCTCGTGTCCCACGGGGCCGGGGTGTTACAAATGGTATCAGAGCAACCCTGCGACAGTGTGCTGATCCGTTAGATATCGGGCAGACACCTAGCAGGGGAAAAGATTCTGGGATTTGATTGAGATTGGTTTAAGGGCGCAACGAGGACGTTGCGATCCTAAGTGGGGGTGATTGTAACACTTGAGATTTAATATAAACGGATTAATAGTACTACTCATACCAACAAGGTGCATCTCCTTTTAAGGGAGCTCATTAGCCAAGAACTCCAAAGTTAAGCGTGCTTGCACGGGAGTAGTCTTGGGATGGGTGACCCCCTGGGAAGTTTCTCAGGGCGCGCACGAGTGAGGACAAAGTGCGCGTAAAAGGCTAGTGGCGGTTTGTGAGGACAGTACTATTGGTCCGGAGTAACTACCTCGGGTCCCACGGGGCCGGGGTGTTTAACCCTTCCATAAGGTCCGACGTAGAGCTGAGCCACCTGATATTCACCTTGGGAACCCTCCGGCCTTATAATATAAAGATTCGTCAAATCCAGTTGAGAGATGCTACCAGATAAGCCCTTCCGACGACGCGACTTCCCCACCTTGGATTTGGAAGAAGACGGAGCGATGCCAGGGACAGAGGTAAGTGGGGGAGGACAAGGAATAGCGGTCGAGGATGCATCGCCCGCGTCGTCGCCACGGAGTTTGGGGTCAGAGCTTGCTTCGTCCTCACCAGACCGTTGAGAACCCGCATCGGCGCTTAGACGCTCCTCGTCCGCAGAGGTACGGTAATCCGCAGTGTTTTCCATCTCAACCTCGAAAGCCTCCACTACTCTTAGATCAACCCCGGGGGATGTGTCGTCGTCAAAAGGCCAATCGGATTCGTTCAGCGAAGCTGTTAAGTCAATTGGGGAGGGGACGCTACGGCCGTCAGGGAACGGCATAACAACTATCGCTACGTCCTAGGGGTGGTTTTCGGATCAAAGTGACTTTCCTAAAGAACACTAGATCTAACACCCTAAGGAGCAAAATATGGAGAAATCAAAGGAAAATTAAAATATCTAACCTTAGAAGATTTGAAGAATGCGGAGAACACTTGAAGATTTCTGGGAAGCACTTTATCTCTCTAGAAATCTCAGCAGCACTTCAACTCTGGCAAAAGCAAATGAGGAAGGGGCTTCGGAATGAGGGGGTATTTATAAACATCCTCCAACGGTCACTACACGTGGCACCCACGCATTGGCCACGACAACGGCCACCCTTCTCCCAACCAATCAGGGGGCAACAATTCAAAAATCACTCACGCAGGCACCCCTACGGCCCAACTCAACCTTACAAAGAACAAGGCATCGGCTGAACACCGCTACGGCCCAACTACTACAAGCTTCAAAGCAAGCGTCGGCCCATAAGGCCGGAAAAGGAACGCATCGGCCTAACTCTACGTCCTCACAAAGACCCAGAAAACTTTAGATAGACAGCTACGGCTGCCTGTACGCGCATCGTCGATGATAACCCTGGCATTGCGGCCTTCGTCCAAGGGTTCTCCCACAGGGTTACCTTGGACAGGTTCGCCTAAGGGTTGGAGTCACGACTAACGCATAGGCACCGGATCGGCTCACCACTCCCTTGTGCCTCAGATGCTCTTCGGCCAAAGGAGTGGGGGACTGGGGGGACTGCATCGGCCACAAGAAAAGAAAACGCAACGGCCTTAATACAAAAGGGTGCGCTACGGCTTGCCAACAACAAAGAACTGGGGATCGCATCGGCTACAGAGCCCAGGAATTAGAACCCCAAGATAAAAAAAATCTAGCGCAACGGCTACGTACACTGAGAGGGCCGCATCGTCTCACCATAACAAAAACTCACAAGTCAAAACGCTTCGGCCGCATAACAAAACAAAGGTGCGCATCGCATCGTCTACATAAACAGAATCAACCATCTTCATCTCATGAAAATAGGTCTTCGCTACGGCCAAAAGAATAGATGGGAGCTCTTCGGCCCCAACGAAGTGACAATGAAAGCATGCCAACTTATCCACCAAGGATTCTTCGCATCATCTACAAAAACGAAAAGCGCATCGCCGCGTCTTCAAAAGCACTTCCATAGAGTGTGCATCGGCCCGCATCAAGGCTATGAGTTCCCAATCACGCTTCATCTACATCAAATAAGGGAACCGCTTCATCAAAAAATCAAAGCAGGAACTCTTCGGCCATCAAACGCCTTAGACTCACGCAACGGCCGGCCAGGAAGGAACAAGTACTCCCTTTCGCTTCGGTTTCACCTCAGCTCAGAGAGTGGGGGACTCCTGATAGAGTATATGGGCCTGGACCCCATGGCCCGCATACTCAACGGCCCAAAAGACACCAGCGGAACACCCGCATCGCCCAGAGGCGCGTAGCGTCCAAGAGAGAAGGTATCGCCCGATTTTTATGGACCGCATCGTCCATGGACCGCGTCGTCCATGGACCGCGACGTCCATGGACCGCGTCGTCCATGGACCGCATCGTCCATGGACCGCATCGTCCGGACTTCGTCCGGGCAGAACATATTTTCCTATTTTTTGTACTAAGTGTTGTACTCAGCCCATTAGTGGCCTTTATTCGCCCAAAGAAGGCATGATTATTGTAATGGGCCTCCTAAGCCCAAGGCTAGGGGCCCAAATCTACATCTTTTCCTATAAATAGACCCCAAGGGGCTAATTATAGGGGATTCTTTTCCCAATTGAGAAATATAATTACTCACTTTCTCTCTCTAGCTCTCACTTCTCTCTAGAATTAATACTCTATCAAAAATAAATAAAATAAATACGATGTGTGAGATCTATTTTTTTTAGAAAAAACTATGTGAAAACAATAAATGTGAATTAAAGGACTTTTTCTAATTAAGGACATAAGGGAAGCATGGATTGATTTCATGGGTAACCAGATTTTGGGGTTGATTAGTCTTAATCACATGAATATTATTTAATGAGCAATGTAGGTCAATATCTAGTTCTTACCACTCTCGCGGCGTAGGCTGCAATAATTTGGAGAACCGGTTTGATCTCCCATGTGACATGTTTCTAAACAATTGCCATATTGAGTGAGGGTACGGATCCCTAACTGTTCTAATCTTCTAGCGAGCGATTGCGTATGTGTAAAAATATCCTAACATAATTTAGATCTCTCTTAAATTATTCTAAGTGCAATTATAATCCTAGCGGTAGTTCCAGGT